ATATCCTCTACGCGTAATAGAAGCTGTCGGTACTAAGATAGGTAGAAACTCAACTTGGTATTACTGTTGAGCCAGCACAAGTTCGTCTTCTTCCACGCTTAGATGACCCCTACCGCTGGCGCGCGGTGCCTGAGAAGCAACATTTGTTCTCTAAGAATCTTAGTGATCATTCGATCGGGGCATACAAATCTCTCTGTGACGGCATAGGGAAGACCTTCGAGGCTGTTCGTCCTGACGAATGGAGTACTATGCGCAATGGAGATGATATAGAAGCAGTTCTGGGAACGTCTATGTTACCAACGGAAGCAGACATCGGCTTTACTGGCAAGATATCGCGACTCCAAAAAGAAAATTCTGGCCTAAAGGCAGAACTTGAAACGTATAAAAGTAGTCTGTGTATAGAGCAGCAGAAGCGATTAGATTTGGAAAACACTGTTAACTGTTTACAGCTAGAAATTGCGCAGACTCAAGCATATCTAGAAGAAAGTTTGAAGGCTGCTGAAGGCTATGTAACAGTGCGTCACCGCCATTTGGATGCCTTGCATCGAGTGCTCCCCATACTTGAAGAGTTGAGGCAGGACATCTCCGATACTTCCCTACAATACCAATCACTGCCAACGTCTTGCTAGAGTAAACGCGATCAAACAAGACACTTCTGCCCTGAATGAGCCCAAGCCTGATAAGCAACTTCTCGAAAAGCTAAAAGCTAGTAAGCGCTGCTCAGACTCTTCTCCAGGGCCATAATTGTCGAAGCTACACTTGCAGGCTTGATCACAAAAAGATTCTGTGTATCTACCCTCGACCTAAGGCAAACTCCATTAGTTTCGTTACAATCTACTTTTAAAATCACGCTATTCCCTATAGCCTAATCAACCGTTCACCGAAGGTCCATACTGTGATTGGGTCGTCCTTGAACTCAGGTGAAGCAAACTCTCTCAAAATGAAGTCATTCCAGAGCGCAGTACCAATAGCCAGACAGACGGCGCGCTGAGTCCAGCTTCGACGAGACAAAGTACGCGCGGCGATGCTTCTAGAATGTCTGCGAACACTCACCATTGAGATCCGTTTCTCGCCTCAGCGTCCATTCTGAAGGTTCTTTTCCAGCGTATCAATGTGCTCGTAGTCTATGTAAGCTTATACGACGTTGGTAAATTTGATTTTCCAGAAACGGTTCTCGGTCTTTGTGTAGAGCGGCGACAATAACTCGAGTTTGATTGCTTCATTGGCAGGCTTGGCAGACAGTCGACACACCGCTGGAATTTTGTTCCGCGCTACCCTACATCATTCCTGTATAACTTAGGCTAACTGGCCCCAAAGGCTTGTTGTTTCCGTTCAATCACGATACTTTCCCTGTCAACTTCCAGGCTTGATTGCTTAGTACTGAATTCGTCGAAAAGGGCATGCTCGTTGATCGGCCTATTGCTGGAATAGTGCTAGTACTGTTGAGCATGATACAATCAAAAGTATTGTGCTCAACAGGCGTGATAGTCTGTACAGTGTGCTCGAAAGACATTGGTATGACTCCTAAATTAGTTGCGGGAGACGATTTCTGTAGCATGCATTATGTGTCTCCTGGAAAGCAAGATCTATAACTTACTAATTAATTACATTACTCCAAAATGAATGGTCTACTATTCACGAGTGGAACAATGATGTCTGCCAAGAAATATCTCCCCCGACTTGTAGGTCCCTCAACAACGTATGACCCTCAGCCTCCTTGCAGTAAGACCAACTGTGAAGGATACAAGGATGTACACTTCGGCAAGTCTACCAAAAAGGGTGGCATCTGTCCTAAGTGTTAAGTGGAAGGTTAAGTAAGCTGAACTCAACGGTTTTGGGGGACCCAATCCATTTGCGATGTCCACCTAGACTTGAGTAGCATCCAGTACTGCTCTTGAACACAAGTTTCCGATAGCATCGCTCAGGATGCCTCAAGGTGCCAAGGCCGCCTGCACTCGATTTCGGAAGTCAGGCTTTTGTCCGTACGGCTCGAGCTGCAAATTTTCGCATGATGCAAATCACAGCAATCATGTTCACCAGCGAAGAGTAAGCCTTTCCAAGAGGCTTAGCTTATACTTATCATTAGTGTGTAGGGTAAAAGCACGCCCCAGCTTAGGGGACAAAAGGCCCAACAGGACTTGGAGGCGATATCTAAGTTCTTTTCGCACTATCCGAAGTTCGCGTATGAGGAAGAACGAGGCGTGGCGGAGGAATTTTACCGCATGTGCGATTTTTTCCACTGGGATCGAGATCACAAAGACCGTGACAAAGCACGATCAGCATTCAAAGATGCCATGGTCATTCGATTCAACAGCCTCTATGGGATCGATGTAGCTGATCTTGAGAACTGGCATAAACTTTGTATAGCTGTCTGCATTGAGCCATTGCCAGCAACTATTTCAGAATGCAAAGAGGTATGTGGTTCTAAGACCTTGTGACTCACTTTGATCTCATTCATGACTAGAGGATTAAAGAAGTACATGTGAATCTTGTTGACCTCGTGGATACCCCAGGGCAGGATGTAGAGCTATTTACGTCTTTGAACGAATTGAGGAACTATACGCTCGAGACTAAGAAATTCTTGCCGAAGAAATCTGCTTATGCGGGTGGCCTCCTGAAGTTCCTGCTTCGTGAGATCTTCTAGATTGGTTTTAGATTACAGATAAATGTAAAAAGAAATGGTTAACTGGAGAATACCGTCCTTCAAAATTTATAGTCGCGATCAGCCGAAAATGTAACCATCTGCAAAACCAGCCAGCCTCGCACACACTCGTTGCTCTCGAATTGCGAAAAGACATAGTTAGCCTGCCCTGGCTTCTGCTAGTTTAAGCAGCCTTTACATGCTCTAATGTTGTTCTAGCAAACTATATAAGGTAGCTAATATAAAGCATGCTAAATAGTAAACAAGTAAAAGTAATTACACAAGCAAAGATTCTTAGTATAAGCTCTCCGTCCTTTTGGCACGCATATCGCGGAGTACATTCCCTGATACTAACCTCGAAGGATGATCCGCTCTGAAGACGTGTGCTTTAACTAAGACTACATATTCCATAAGCTCTATAGCTCTCTTGGTTTCTCCGTTGGCATAGTATGCTCCAGCGAGTGCGTGCTGAGACGCTAGTCGGTCAGGATGGTCTTCTGCGAGCACTTCTGCTTCTATCGCCACGACGCTTTCTAGCAGCT